TGAAAATAATAAACAGTTTATTGTTCCTTATAAAATGGATATTTTTAGATATAATTGTCCATCCTTGAGAACACAAAATTACTGTTTGGCCAGGACTGGAACTTGTGTTTAGCATCCCTGCTCCCATTAATTTAAACTTGGCTTATGAAATCTCTTCAGTATTTAAGTATAACATAAACACCAAGCTCACCTTACAGGCATACATTTAATATTCTTGAATTTTTTTCTTCTTCAAGCTTCACTTGATTATTTGTATGAAGAGCTGATATTTCTAGAAGTATTTAATTAGTATTGGTTATAGTAGTTTTCAGTTTCCAAGAGATTGAGAGCTAGGAGTATAAAATGTTACTGGAAAAAGGGAGTATTGGGCAAAACCAAGCAGCTTAAAATAACTTTCAGAAAGGAGATACACAGTTATAGACTGTCCCAAAAGCTTTAAAAAAAAAGGGGGTGTGTGTATTTTGATAATACTGTGTTTTGATACATGATGGGTTAGTACTGCAAGTAAATTTGCCAAAAGGATGGAAGAAAGTTTAAACAGAAATATGTATTTTTTTACTTAATTTAAAAGTAGTTTCTATTTTGATTCCATTGGAAATATGTAGAATAAAAGAAATGAAAATGTGTTGGATATGTAAAACATTGTTCACCTGTATAAAATGCTTACATAAGGTATTAGAAGACCTGATATGTGCAATTTGATTTGCGCATTGCTACTTCAATAAGAGGATTTAGAAACTGTGCCTGTTTCACTGCATTTAACACTACACTGCTATTTTGTAGGGGTATGGATATTGCCATATTAGTCTGCCTTTCTTAAATTTGCATATCAGATGTATTTTTAACAGAATAGTTTATATACAACTTTTGTACTACCAAGCAGTAAATAAAAAATATTGATTCTTAAGCTTACTTGTGACTTCCTTAAGCCCACATCCATTGCGTGAAATTTAACCTTTGCACAGTCTTAATGTATAATACAGTCTCTTTGCATCTTAAGTTTTTGTTTATCGAGGTAGTGAGAAGGTTAGGTTGTTGTGTGATGTACTTCAGAGCAGTTTTATTTTCTTGAGAAAGGAGAATTGCAAATACTACTTTAGTCCCATATTTTATATGGGAAAGAAGAAAATCTATGCTTTAATCCAAGCTGGTATCTGATTAAAGACCTTTTACCTTTAAAGTATCAAGACTTTTAACTTTTTATTATATTTGACATTGAGCTTTTAAAAGAAATACACATTATCTTTATTCTCAATTATTTTCATAAGGTATGGAATGAAAAATTACAAATGATAGCTCTTTGCAGTTGCTTCCTCTCAGCCTGTGTCCCTCTGTGATACTACAATGCTTAATTTGTTACATTATGTTCTCACAGATGACTATGCTCTGTAAGTGCCATTAAAAATGAGTTTTGCTGTATGAATAGTGTGAAGGAGGCTCAAAGCAAGTTGTTGTGGCTAGCTGAGATGTAATTATCAGTGTACAATCCTGTTCGCATTTTTTTTTGTTCTTTATTTCAATGTTCCTAGCTGCATCACACAAGGTCTGTTTTGAGGTCTGTATTTGAATTTTAGAGGTTTATATACAGCTGTGGTTTATATTCAGAATGGAAAAAAAAAAAAAAAAAATCCCTCCAGGCCTTAATTCTCAAAGATAATCGAGACACTGCTGATTGTGAAGCTTCTGGAAATTGAACACACTTTCCAATTCTCATTTTCAGGGATTTTTTTGTTCCTTTTTTCTTCTACATAACAAAATAACCTGAGAGTAATATGTTATACTACTTCTTGTTCCCTTAGCATGTTTTCCCCCTGCCCCCTTTTCCTTGACTTTCTAATGCTTTCATTAACAATTTCAGGTTATATTGAAGTTAAAACTGAATGCAAATATAATCGTATCAACAAACTTTGATGCCAGAATAGATAAGGATAGAAAATTGTAATTTTGTGTAATACACAGTTTTTATTAGATAATATGTGCATATATTGAAATACAAGAGGATTGCTCTATTAAAGTTTGAGATATTCTATTATAACTGGACTGACATAGAGAAGTCCTCAAAAGAAATGTGAAGAATTTTTTTGTCCAGATGGAATTTTTTTTATATGGATAATACTTCTGTTGTTTTTCCCCAGTACAGACACTTTTTTAGTAGAGCATTATGCAAAATTCAGGATCCTACGTCATGCTGCTGTAGCAAAACAGATGAGGGAGCTACTTCTATCTTCAATAAAATCTGATTTTACTTGTAAAGAGCACAGAACACATGTGCAATGTATTTTTGAAACATGGTAAGCATTAAAGCATTTCTTTTCTCTTATTTCTGAATCTCTTTATGAAGAACCTTAGTTGAAAAGCATGCCATAGTGTACCTGGTAGTTCATTGCCATTTTCTTTCTGAACTGTCTCCCTATTTTTCACGTGTACAGAGACCTTGACAAAATTGGTACCTTACATGATCCCTGTACTCACAAGTGTTTTGTGTGTCGCTTGTGGAAAGAAGTGTTATTTCAGCCAGCTGGTCCTGTTTTAAAAAAAAAAAAAGTTAAAGCACAAGTGCTTTTCTGTGTGCTTCAAGTCTGTGGATAGATGCTGCATCTATGTACTTTCTGTAGAAATGAACCGAGGCTCCAGTATTCCTGAAGTGTGTGTGTGTGGCTCGGAGTGGGGGGCTCTCGGCCTGCTGGAGAGGTGTGGGGCTGACTGTGGTGCTGGGTAGCAGAGCCAAACTGAAAGACACAGAAGGGGGGAGATGGGCACTAAAAGCATGATAGGATAAGACAGGAGAAAAGGGTGTCAGATAAGTTTGTTTGGGTTTGGTGTTTTGTTGTTGTTTTTTTCTCCTCACAATTAATTGAGCTTGTACTTACTGCATACTAATACAAAATGATGTGGGTTAAAAAGTGCCTTTTTCTGAGATTATTAATCTCTAAATGAGAGGAGGACATATGGTCTGTTCTGGTTTGGTAATGCTGAAAGTGCCTACTGGGTTGGAACATGAGACTGTTTCTCCTCAGAAATTAAGTTTCCTGGATGTTTAATGTATGTTGAGTACTCCCACCTGTGCCCCGGATGTAGTTTGCAGTGCAAATCAATTTGTATCTATTAAACTAGGGTTTCTGTGCACTTTAGGCCTGTTCTTTCCTTTTCCCTGCGGTGTGTAATACTACTGCTGATGAATAAACAAGAAAACAGAGTGGTTAAGCCTTGACTATCTAATATTAATGAACAACATGTAAGACTTGGCCAAGTAAAGATGGATTTAGATTTATTTTTTTCCTCAGTGTTTTGTGAAGTCCTGTATTTGGGAATTTTGTTTGAGGGAAGTTTGCAGTTAGACTCAAAGTACTGGCAGACACTGGATGCAATTTCCATTTCTCTCGTTTTCTGTATCCTTGCTGATTTTCTTTAATTTTTTTTTCCCTCTCCAGTTGTAGGGGGTGTGCAACAAGGTGCTGCTGGTCTGTTTACTCTTGCCATAATTTTATTATATCTCTTGCTCTGGAGGCACCATTTCTTCTCCTCTCTGCACCACCTGTGGCAGGGCTGGCTGATTTTTGAACTACCACTGCGCAGGGCTGCAAGGCACCCAGTTAGCCCCAGAGCTGTGTTCCTAGCAGGTTAAGACCATCTGGTGAGGCAAAACTAGTAAAAGGATATGAAAGGCTGGAGCAGGATGAGAAGAAGGAAGCTGGGCAGTTTGAGAAGGTAGGAGTCTGTTCCTCTAACTCTCAGAGAAAAGAAGGTAGGAGAGACGCCAGGCCTGTAGTGCTGGAAGCGTGAAGATGGCGGAAGCCTGTGAAGAGGCATAGCAGCAAGGTCTGAAAGCTGTTTGTGCTGTTAAAGTGACTGACCTCTGAACTATCTGTGACCAGGGGTGATAGTGGATTGGTGGTATATTTTGCTAGTAAGTTTAGATAAGAAGAGATACCAAGTCACCCGTTATGTGGATGGCCCTTAGTCCAGATCCTGTGAGGTGGGTACTGCTTGGCTGTCTGTTTCTGGATGTGCAGTCAGGCTTCCTTTGTCTTCGTCTGTGTAAAGTCTTTGCAGAGTAGGCCTATTACATCTTAACTGAAATATCTCCTCTTAGGTTTTATCTGTGCAACCCCTAGTGTTGTAGAGATGCAATGGCATCAAGTTTAGCTATAGCATATCTGTCTTCCACAAAAGAGGATATACTGGCGAATGTTATTTTTCTATCAGTGTAACTGCTCACTTTTATATACGTAAACACTCATTTCCCACCCCCCTGCCCTGCTTCCTGTGCTAGCTGTCGTTTCCTTGCCTATTTTCAGTTAGTCATCCCAGTCTTGTTTCTTCTGGACTGCAGAGTGAAGTGTGCTGCAGTGATGGACAGGAGGCACTCGTGCTTGTATTGCGCAGTTATGTTGATGGTCTTGAAATGGTGGTGATGGGGAATAGAGAGCATTTGCTTCAGTAACCTTTTCGTAGCTGTCAGCATGCGGCAAAACAGCCGTTTTGCTGTTGCAAAACAGCAACGGCAAAACAATTAAAAAAAAACAAACAACCTAGCTGATACCTGATGGCAGAGGGGCAGGTACGGAGAGGAGGCAGCAACGGAGAGTATGAAAGACTTGGGAAACTGGGAGGAAGACTGAAAAATAGTAGTGATAGTAAGGGCAGCAGCAGTTTGAGACAAACTCGTCTCTTACTGTCCTAAAAAATTAGCCATTGCTCCATGGGTGTCACTATATATCCAGCTAGATACCCAGGTAATATGGCGTGATTTTGTGTTGAATAAGATAGTATTCTGAAATTATCATATGAAAATACTATTTAACTACTGGCCTTCAGTATTTTGATTTACTGTCAAAATAATTATCCTTTAAAAGCAGTAATCTTAGGGGAGTGTTAAATTAAAATACCCATAGGATTTCCCAAATCTTATTTTTCAAGGATTCTACATGCTGTGTGTGTGTATACACATACAGACACGTGTATATGC